TGTCCTTTGGAGGCAGCCAGCTGGGACACGTCGACAGGGCAGGCCAACTGCCCCAGCTGGCCCCCGGGCATCTTCATGCCCCGAGTCTTCATTGCTCTTTGTCCCTGAGCTTGCTAGTTGGGCATGGGAGCTGGGTCTCTCCCCATCGCACGACCCAGGACCCGGACTTGTAGGAGGGTACCAGCCAGGGGTCCGCCTGCGGTCCTCCCCCAGGCCCTGGGCACACATCCTTTATGTCCAGGAGATGCCTCGCAGGGCCTGTGCCCATCGAGGTGAGCCGATCCACCCCCCTCGCCTCCCACCCCCATGCCAGATGCTTCAAGCCACCTGCTTTGGGGCTTGTCAGTGCCAAGGCAGAGCCCAGCCTGGACCAGGGGAAATCCAAGCAGAGCTGCTGACGGGGGCGGTGGGCCACTGCACGGGACCCAGGAAGCCTCTACCTCCTCCTTGAACTCGTCCTCCGGCTCCTCGCTGCCCAGCGTCTGCAGCACCTTGGACTTGTAGAGTCTCCAGAAGCCCTGAGTCATGGTGGCTCCGGGCGCGCTGGCCCTCCGGCGCGGCTGTGGGCGGCAGGCACGAGGCTCCGGGCACCGGCTGGCAGGCGGCTCCGCGCGGGGCCGCGCTCAGCCCCTGTGCCCGGCACGCTGGGTGCCCATCGCACTTCCACGCTGGGCAAGCCGAGCGGTTTGCGAGGTCTTGAGTGCTGCGCGCTTGTCCCATCCCCGCTGCCGCCCGCCGGGATCCGATGTCTTCATTAAAATTGCAGGTGCCTCCTTCAATGTGCAGCTCGGGGCACAAAGAGGAACCCGATCCCAGGTGGACTCGCGTTGCCAAGGGGCTCCTCGAACCAGGGCCAGGCTGGGGGAGCTGCTGGCCTTCACCCCGGGGGTGTCTCCTGCCCTTTGCTTGCCCCCAGGGCTCCCAGGGCAGGCTGCCTTGTGCCCCTAACCCAACCCCTCGGCCTTGGTCCCAGAAGGGCTTTGTCCGGGGCCTCAACCCCTTGCTTCCTCCCACTCCCACAGGGCCATTCAGTACCCACCCACGTCCCTCGGCAACTAAGGTGCGTCTCTGGCCTGTTACCTGTCCCCTCTGCTTCTGCGGGCTCTCCCATGGGGACCTGCCAGGCCCGCGGGAGCCCTGCCCAGGCTCTCCCCATGAAGGGTCCTGCATAGACCCCCCCCTCCCCGCTCAGCTTGGCACTCGGGTGATGCTTCATTATTTGCAGTTGGTAACCGATGCCGGCGGAGACCGTGCGCCTGGAACACGGTATCTGGGCAACTGGCTGGAAATAGCCTCCGGCAGCTAAATTATTCCTTAGGAGCCCAGAGCCAGCTCTGCTCGGCTGCGGATTCGGTTACCGCCTGCCGGCTTCTCCGTGTGCGCACCACTGGGCAGATGTGTGCTCGGGGCTGGTGGGGGGCTAGATAGGCAGGAGAGGGATGTGGGGTGGGGTCCCAGCACTGTAGTGTGGCAGGCTCCTTCAAGCTGGTGTGCAAAGGGGTCTTCATCCTTCGTACCCACTCCTTGAGCCATGCCTGCCCGCGGCGTTAGCACCACAGCCCCATCCGCCGTGCTCCGGGGCTGTATGTATTATTGATTCCCAGCCCAGTGGGGTAACGTGATCGCGGGCGCAGGGCCGGCGGCTCTTTTGTGGTGGATTGACAAGTGTATCTTCAGTGTATAAATCCACGTTATTAGCCGTTGTGCCCACATCGGTCCTGCTGAGAACTCGCGGCTCAGCACAGCAGTACCCGTAAGAAAACCCCTGCCATGCGGCCATGCTTCTCCAAGAGATTCAACCCCCTCCCCTGGTCACACCATCGACCTCCTGCCCCATGGTGTGCTGGGCAGGGAGTGGGGAGACTTCCCCCTGTGCCCCACTGACCCCAGCGTGGTGGAGAGGGGGCATGTTTCTGATGGCATGCGGCTTCCACCTCCCAAAATATATAAAGCAAACTTTGGGCACAAGCAACGGTTGGCTCACGGACGCTGCAGGAGAATCTGCTCCCTCCGAGCAAATGCTATTGCCAAGGATGTTCCCTGCCCAGGATGGCGGGTGCAGGAACAGCAGCTCCCATCAAACTCTTCCTGCGTGTACCGTATGGGGCCGGGCGTCCTCCTTAGCACTCGGGTGCATCCGACCTCGGCATGAAAGCCTGGTTCTGGCTATGTGCAGTGGAGTCGGTCCTGCTCCCCGAGTGCTTTGCTCCCCACCGAGGTGTCTGTACTGCTCTGTAGGTCCCCAGGGAGCCTTCCTCTCCAGAGGGTGCCCCCAGCCACCTGCTCAATGCCCCGGAGAGCAAGACTCTGAGAGCCCCAGGTTGCCTTCACCGCCTTGCCTCTGAGATCGATGCCCGTGCAGGAGCGGCGCGTGGGCCGGGTGGGCTTGAGGCCGGCACTGCCGAGAGCGCTGCGGACACAGTTCCTTCTAGGGCTATCATGTCTTCAGCACCGGGGCAAACGATCGTTATCTGCATGTCTCTCTCAGCGGTCTTATGCATGGAGTTGACCCGTCCTTCACACCAGGCCACCTCTGGGGTCAGAAGCTGTGGACACAGGAATAGCCCCAGATGCCTCAGTGCAGGATACCACATCCCCGGGCCCTTCGCGACCCAGCCCTTGTTGCAGGCCACGAGTCTCTGTTTCCCCTCTGCACTGACCCCCCTAGATGGGATGGTAGGGCAGTGGGCACTGCCCAGGGGTCCAGGGCCCCCCCACAGCCTCCTTCCTGGTCCTGTAGCAGACAGCCAGCCTGGCCAGGGCCGGGCAGGTTGTCCGGGGGGTCACGGGCCATGGCAGGGCCCGTCATATCCGACCCAGCTCCTGTGTTGTTATGGGGGTGCAGGGAGCTTCCTCGCCCATTCCCAGGCTGCCCTGGTTGCAGCCCCTGCCTCGGGCGCAGCTGCAGGGAAGGGGGAGCAAGGTTCATGCTCATCCAACTCCACTGCAGGGAAAATGTAGGCCAAGCCACGCGTTGCACCTCAGCCAAGAGACGGGGGGCTCGTGCTTTTCTCTTGCCAAAAGTCCCACCGGGCTGCTCCTGGCTGCGGGCAGAGGGGCCCTGGGCTCCCACCCATCCGCAAGGATCGGCTGCCACCAAAACCCAGTGCTCGGGGTCACGCTCTGCAGTGACTGGCCGGTAATCAGTGTTGAGCTGCAACGTGATCCCCCCGATGGAATTACACCCCGCCGCTTCGTTTCCATGGGCCCAGCCCGGCGCAGGCGGTTGTGCCGGCACTCGAGGAAGGAGAGGGGGGTGTGAACCCAACTCCCCCTCCGCTGCAGCTGCGCCCGAGGCAGGGGCTGCAGCCGGGGCAGCTTGGGAACGGGCGAGGAAGCTCCCCGCACCCTCACAGGAACACAGGACCTGGGTGGGATGCTATGACGGGGCCCCCCAGACGACCCCCGGACCCTGGCCAAGCTGGCCGTCTGCTACAGGACCAAGAAGGAGGCTGGCGGCGGCTCTCGATGGGCAGCAGCCCGGATCCAGGGAGCACAGGCTGCACGACAACGCCTGGGCCTGACCAGGGCGTTCCCCGGGCCCTGATCCCGCTCTCCTGTGCTCCCATTGCCCACGGGGCCTCGCTGCCCGGGCCGCGCTCCACCCCAGACGCAGCTGCAGCAGGGCCGGGAGGCGGGGCCACAGTGCTCATTCCCCCTCCCACCCGGGGTCCTCCCCCGCATGCGCACTGAGCACTGCTCACTCCCCCC